CATACGCTCATGAAACAGCCGCGCGCGCGCGTCTCACAGAATCGCGCCTGCGCTGCATGACGTCAGCGCTCTCACAGAGCACATGCTCCCGCATTCAGCGCCAGCATGGCGTCTGGAAATGGTGAGAGTGCGGGGTGGCGATGTAAACGATGTCGACGTATGGGTCGTTGACGAGCGCCTCATAGGAGCCGTGGGCGGTGCATGGTTGCGGGATGGCGTTGTCGGTGATGAATCGCTGCGCCCGCTCGCGCGAGGTGGAGGATGCGACGGCGGCGATTGTGTGGGAGATGTCGGAGGCGTTGCGGAGGGAAGGGTCGATGAGCATGTCCCGTGCGAACGCTGGGTGATGGGAGTGTCATTGTTAGATAGATATTTTGGGCGCGCGGGGGGTTTGGATTGGAGCGTTTCATCAGGGTATTTTGTGTGTTGTTCTTTTGTTTTGATGGGCTTTCTTTAGGTTGTTTTATCATCATTTGTTTTTTTATCTTACATCTGGCAATTCCTCCCGTCGCTAAACGGGGTTATTTACGTATCAGTAGACTTTCTTTCTCTATTGAAACAGAGTGCTTTTGTTTTTACAATCATAATCGAGAGGGAAGACGTGGAATGCAGTGTTCAACTTACCCATAAACCCCCACCGAATATTATATGGCTCCGCCATTGCTTCTGGATCAATCTATAAACGATAGATAGTATTCAATGGGAAAACTAGTTCAGGAAAGCTAGCAATCGAACGCGGTAAAGGGGAAATCAGCACAGTGGCAGATAACTTCGCTGTGAGAGGGCAAAGCGAGGGCTTGGTTGATAGAGGCAAAGACATTTTCTACATTACAGTAGCTATGGTTTGCCGGTTCCAAGTTCCCCCTGCAGGCGATGAAACTGGACACAGACCACGGCGGGGTTATGGAACGTCGGGTTAGGGTTTCGGCATGCCGATGGAATCTCGTGGCGTCCGGGATTGGGAAGTCGGGTGGAAAATGGCAATACCAAGTAGTCGTCAATTGTATGGAGGAGTTATTGAGGGTGCTCATTTCATTTCATTTCATTTATTTATTTGAAAAAAAAAAAAAAATAAATCAAACCAAAAAAACAAAATCATTGAAAACAATCGACTAAACCGATATGATCTTAATGTCCTGCACATGGATGCTGCACAGTTACAGAAGTACTTACTATAACAATAATTCCTACAGCCAACATACAAAAGCCAAATAAATAAAAAAGGAGAAACGCTCAATTTATCTTTTCATTCTAATTTCTTCTCTTTGCCTTTGTAAAGAGGATGTGTAGGAACAGGGTAAATTAACTCGATAAACCAAGTGACATTATCAGCTCAATATATGAGTGACGCCGCGCCACAGCCATCCTATGATAACAAGTGAACAACGTAATAACGCAGTCTGAGTCGAAGCATCAGACGGATTTTACATGCCATGAGAAGCTAGTACATTACGCTGAAGTGGGAAAAGGGGTCGGGGAGATATAATGCCGTCCTTAAACGGCTTTACTGACGACGTCATGATCCATAGGACAAAATTTGTCAGACAAAGAGTAGCGAGTTTCAGGAGGGTATAGGGGTTGTCTATAGAAAGCGC